GCGCGGCCTGATCAATGGCATCTCTGGAAGCCAAATCCTTTGGATTGGTGTTGATTGCCGAATCGACCGTGACACCCAGACCAATTCCCAACACAAAGACACCGGCTAGTAGAGATTTGGAAACGGATTCGGGGAGACGCCACCCGCGGCGTCGACCAAAAGATGACGGTACGTTGAGACCTTGATCTTGCTGGCCTCGTGCGTATTCTCCCAAATCGTCGCGGCGTCGACGACGGCGGCGTCTTCTGGGGGGTTGGTCGTAATCATCATCGTCGTCGTCATCATAGTAATCATAATCCTCGTCGTCGTAATCATCCTCGAAATCGTCTGATCGTCGATTTTTGCGCGCTAGCAGAGGTCCTGTGGAAAGACAGGATGCTGCTGGTTTTTGCTGCTGGAGAAGATACCCACTAGAAACACTGAAGGAAACACATCCCTGCAGGATGGCAAGGCAGGCAATGGTACACAAAATTATTCTTGGCTGCGACATGCTTGTGTGGTGGAACACAGTCCTAGCTAGCTAGTATCTGTGGTTGTGTATATTCTTCTTGTGGCTGCAGAGTCCTTGTGAGGAAAACTCCTGGTCTTGATCCTTAATTTGAACTGGTACTTCTGCCTCCAGTTCAGTCGACAATAGCGAGTTCACAGGCGTTTGGCTCCAAGAGTTGGTGAAAGCGAGGACGGTGGAATCATTCCTCTCCACTTGGAAGTGTTGATGCCGAAGCAGATTTGATCAGTCGACGTTGTGATGTTTGGTTGTTTTCCTTGTGTCCAGGAGGGGCAGGATCCGACAGACGTCAGACCGGATTCCAAAAAGCCATCAAAGCGGACTAACGATATGGAGTGCTGCAATAATATTTTAATTTGGATGACTCAGTTTAGAAACACGACTGGTGATTAAACTTATTCGCGGTTGTATTCACCTGTCATGTATGATACAGTAGCTACCAAGGGGGTTCAATCAGCCAGCATCCTAAAAAGTGACGACAGCCGTGAACAGGACTTCTTGTATCGAATCTGGTCAGACTCTTCGCAGCAGATCGACGGACTCTTCTTCTTCAGCTCGGCGGATCTCCTGAGCAACTCGGTGTGCAGCGAAAGCAGCGTTGCTGGTGTGGTCTTGCTCCTCGTCTAGCTCGAATGGTTCGCCGAAACGAATGCGGATCAATGGGGGCTCCAAGAGACAAGAAAACCTCGGGAGCCAACTACCCTTGGGCCAAACGGATTCTGTTCCGGTCATCACCATGGGGACAACCGTAGCGTTTCCTCTTGTTGCAATCCTTGAAATGCCCAAACGGAACTGCCCCACGCCATCCTTTCGCCATTCTACTTTGTCAACCAATCTCCCCTCCGGCATCATGGCGACAATCTCGCCCTGTTCGAGAGCCTCAACCGCGTCATCTTCGGCTTGTTGTCTCCTCTCTTTACACGTTGGGATGCCACCAAGAGCCTTGGCCAGCGGGGACCAATGCCGCATATAGCCAGTGAACACCATGGTGCGGCAAGAATACCCAAGTTTGGAAAAACAGGTGAAGGCAGCCATGACATCGAAGAAGCTTCGATGATTGGAAACCACAATAACCCGTTTGTTTGCGGGAATAGCAGCATTCTTCGGAAGATCAAATCTCGCAAAGTTCCTTGCTATACCAGCGGCAAGCTTGGCAAATCGTAGAAATGTTTTGTTGTGTCTCATCTTTGTGTGTTGACAGTTCCTTTAGCTTTGTTTTCTGAGCTGTTCTGGAAAAGTGGAGTTGTTTTATTCGTGGTCCTTCAAGATTGCTGGAGCTCTCGTACGGTAGTAGTTATTGGGCCAACTCTTTCCACCCAATGTTGTGGGGTTATCCGTTCTGGGTAGAGGCAAGGTGGACACGTCCTTCTCAGAGTAGCCCTTCAAATAAATTTCTAATGCGGATACTTATTAGCTGTTAGGGGCTTACGAGCACACGAGCAGCATAGACAAGTAAGTGTAAGGGGTACGATACCGGTACCTGGTACAGTACCGGTACCACTGGCCTCTCTACCGTACTCAATTCTACTGTACTATCTACCGTACGGTACCTGGCTCTATGGTCATAGGTCACAAAGCACTCCTTACCCAGCGAAAAGTATGCATTTTTTACGAGTACTACTACATGTAGTACAGTCAAACTACATGTTACGTACTGCCTGAAGGTCAAAAGAGATGCAACGATTGAGGAAGCATTTATTAATTACGCGTAACGTCGTGTCGACGCACTAATTTCTCCCTCCTGTCGATTGAAAGAAAAATTCTGGGTCGTGGTGTCGTGGTAGCACGTTACATCGTACAGGCGGTAAACTAACCATTCAAGGAAGCATCTAATTAATTAAAAGAATGACTGTCCTGTGTTGTATCTTCACACTCTGCATGCTCCCCGAGAGCCGGGATGGTACCAGTAGTACCAGTACCCGGCAAGCTAACGATTGAAAAATGGTGGTCCAAATATTACTCTAGAGGTTAATAGAAAGCGGAACCAAAAACTCCACAACTCGAACGGCTCACAATCAGGATACTCAAGTACTAGCTAGAGAAAGAGATTCGATTCGATTCAAATAGGGTCAAATCATTTCATTCAACACCATGTTGACCGCTAGTGCCATCTGCCGTTCCCGCATCATCACCTTGATACCATCTACCACTGCTGCTACCAGCAGGGCCCTGTCAACTTCTGCTGTTGGAAGAGCTGTTGGAAGTATCGCCGCTCCCCCTCTGATTGCTGATAACGATGACATAACTCATGCGAAGAAAGTAACAGATTGCTATTCATACTACGAAGACATGTCTGACTTTGTTGGGATCTCTGATTACACTGACGGTATCTACAACGGTAAACGAGATACCGTGTACGAAGAAGCTCAGGTGAATCAGACAAACTACCTCCTCGACCAGGCAGAGATTGGGCCAGGTGCACGCTTATTGGATGTGGGATGTGGTCGTGGAAGGCTTCTTCAAGCAGCCAAGGATAGAGGCGCGGAAGTCATGGGGATCACCATTAGCCCGGAACAGAAGGAGTACTGCCGCCGCAAAGGATTGGATGTCAGACTTCAAGATTACCGTGCACTGGAGCATAAGCAGGAGTGGCATGGCCAATTCGATGCCGTCATTGCGAATGGGTCGATGGAACACTTCGTCTCCACCAAGGATGGCCTTGCTCGCCGAGCTGGAGATATTTACGAAAACACTTTTGGCATTTACCACAAGCTCATCAATCCCAGTGCAGAATCTCGCCGAGTGGTGACGACCGTCATTCATCATCGCCCTCGAAACGGGAAACGAATGAACTTGAGCTTGAGTGATAAAATCATGTTCGGATTGCTTGCCGAAGCCTATGGCGGGTGGTACCCCTTGGATGGCCAACTTGAAAAATCCGCAGACGGTAAGTTCCGATCCATCGAAAAAGTCGATGGAACAGAAGATTACTTGTGGACCTCGATTGATGCATTTGCTGTGATGCGTCAAAAGCGAAGTGACAACCCCGTTGGATACATGCGGAACCTTGCCGCCACAGGAATTCGTGCTCCTCTCTTCGCAGCCAACCCTTGGATGTCGACGTGGCAGTTCCGAGGAAGTGATTCCAACCCCCCACCCACAGTTTTGTATCGCCACACATGGGAGTACCAGGATGCTTGAGTAATACTGTGCATGTAGGAAGGAGGATAATCAGAAACCAAATCGACATAATAATATAGTGCCAAGTTCGGCAGCAAGACCGAACAAGTAACCCATTAGAAAATGTCTTTTAGATGGCCCACTAGTTCCTCGAGACAGCTGGGATCTGCGTGGAAATGATGGCTGCCACGGTCTAACCAGCTGTGCTTTTTGAGAGTTTGCATGTCTTCAATCGTCCGTTGTGTCTCTGGATCAATGGGCCATCCGTCCTTGGTCTGGATGAGATAGGTAGGGCAAGCCACACCTGTCCACAACAGCTCCTTGACTTGTTCCTGGCTAAACTGACGCAGCGAAGGCCATTGCAACCTTGGATCATGCCGAAATGTTACGCTACTCCCCCCTCCATCTTGCAAAGCTGTCCCTCGAGTGACAATTTCCGTGGCCGCCTCCCGTGAAATGTACTGTTTCCCCGGTGAGTATTTTGACACGAAATCCATTCGAGCCTGGACTGCCACCTCCAAAGTCGGGAAAACTGTGGGATTTCTATTCTGAGGATAAAGCATTGGATTTTGGCGGATGCGCTGATCACAGCTGTTTCTTAGCTCGTCCAGGAAAAGATGATCTTTCGATGGGCGCGGGATAAAAGGAGCTGCTCCCTCCAAGAGTACCAAGGAGTGTACGAGCTCTGGATATGTCGCTGCAAACAGCACAGCCACTCCCGCACCCATGCTGTGACCAAGGACTGTCAATGGAAGATCATCGTCGTCACTGCCGCTGTTTTTATTCCACCAGCCCAACTGTTTGGTTGCTTCGGCCACATAAAAGGTACTATCGCTCAAATGGAGCATTGGTCCATCCTGAGATCTGTGAGAAGAATGACCATGACCGGGGAGATCAAGAGCTACCACATCGCCATCCCAGTGCTGAGTCAAGTGTGGACTCAAGAGATTGAAGGAGGCAGCATTGTCCAGCCAGCCATGTAGGCAGAGTATCCTCCTGCTGATTGTCGCATTCTCGGTAGATGGCTGATTGCGTTTCCACTGAACTGCCGCAAGTTTCATTCCATCCGAGCATTTCAGCACTCGTTCAGAGCGAAGGCTATTGCTGGCACGAGACAACATTATTCAAAGATACCAATACCACAAGGTCTATTGTGGTGATCTTCAAAGTACGGTGTATTCGTACATGGAGCTGAAGATATCCTCAGCTGTCCCGCTGCATGTCGGGAATCCTTCGGGGCTCTTTGTCTCGTCCAAAGATCCAAAGATCGTCGCTAGATAACACAGCAAAGCTGCTTAGTTACCGTGAGGAGTCGACTCAATGGAGAGATGGGGAGCTGACCTTTGATAGCGTGGATGATGATGAGTGATGAGTAACGGCATTGAGTCTCGTTGGCGCTGACATCTGGAAGTCCTGAAGTCGGGTCTCTCATACCCGTTCTTATCGAGCCAAAAATGGGCCATCGCGGTGCGTTGGAACGCACCACTTCTTGTCGTGCTGACGTGTCACAGGAAACCTGGCTCCAATTTCTGCGATGGTGCGGTTCGCAGCCCAGTGATTTGGACACGTGCAAACACTGCGAATCGCATCCATCGCAGAAATTGGTGCCTAAATATTCTTGGGACAGAGCCAGGCCATCCAAACTGAAAAGTAACTCTCACAATTCAGCTAATATTCGCAACAAGACTTAACACAAGACTGCTTAATGCTAGTACGTGTACAGAAGAACGTTTACAAGACTATCGACAAGACTATTGCTAGCTAGTACGTCGCCTCTAGCTCCACCCACTTTGCAAAGATGGACGTAATCATCGAAGGAACCTTTGCCCAGATCAGGGCCTTTCATGAGCAGGGATATGCTGCTGAAGATGACGATCTTTGGGATCTGTATCAGCAATACTTCCTGGTAGTTTTGAGTTTCATCTCCCTCACCACGGTCCTAAAACTTCCTCGCAACTCGTCCTACTTTGAGCAACGCTTGGTGTGGGAAGAATATGCATACAAGCATACTGTCCGTGGGACCTTCAAACGAAGATTGAGGATGTCGCGTGATTCTTTTGACCTTCTCTTGAGCTACATATCGATTTATCTTGTGGTGAATGAAAGAATGGCAAGTTTGCGAGGTGGCATGATTATCCCAGAGCTGTGCCTGTACAGTACGCTGCGTTGGTTGGCAGGTGGCTCTTACTTGGATATAACGGACATTGTAGGGGTGTCTGTTGCTTCCTTCTACCGTATCATCTGGAAGACAGTTATGGCAATTGTGTTGGCCCCAGAACTATCCATTGACTTCCCCACAACAGCTGACGAGATTGCTAGCACAATTGCTGGGTTTGCGGAGATCAGCTTCAACCAAGCCATAACAAACTGTGTTGGAGTTAGCGATGGATTCCTGCTTCGAACTAAGGTTCCAAGCAAAGAGGAAGCGGGCAATGTGAGATGCTTCTTTTCCGGACACTACCAGTGTTATGGTGTCAACATCCAAGCAGTTACGGATCACTTGTGTCGATTCCTTTACATTGCTGTGGCAGGCCCCGGAGTTTCGAAAGATCGCGACGCTGCTGAACATTGCGGCCTGACAGAACTGGTCAACAATCTACCACATGGCATTTGTGTTATTGGTGATGCTGCCTATGAACCATCGGAGCATATGATTCCAATCTATCAAGGGCAAGACAAACGAAACCCCAAGTACGACAATTTTAACTTCTATGCTTCTCAGTTGCGCATCCGTGTTGAAATGGTTTTTGGTATGATGTGCACAAAGTGGGGAGTATTGAATCGCCCTTCAATGTGCAAGCTAAAGAACATCAAATGGATGGTTCAAGCAATTGGCCGACTCCACAACTATTGCATTAATGAAAGGTTGATGGCGAATGCCGAGGAGGAGTGGTCGCAAGCAGTTCTTGAGGGAAAGGCCTATCTCCCATCTACGCCCCACCAAGATGGAGATCCAATCAACTTGGATGCCCTTTTCGTTGATGACAGTGTCATGACCTTCCGTGGCCATTCGGAGCTGCGGGAAGCCATGGCTGATCGTGTTGCTTCACTGGGCCTGACGCGACCCGCGGCCAATCGCACTAGCGATGATGACCAGGAAAATGATGAGTAAGTACTAAAGAAATGATAGGAGCAGTCGTTCTTTTACACCTAGCCACTACCGTGGTATACTATTAACATTTAACAAATAAAGAACACTGTTCAAAGTATTCCAACTAGTTTCTCCACCTCATCGTCTATGTCCCCATCGTCGTACTCGTCTTCTTCTTCGTTCACTTGCATCATCCTGACTTCTTGTTGTCCGTCTTGACTGGGAGGAATGAGATGACAAACGATGGACTCTTCGATCGCGATATTAAGATCAATTTCCAGTGCACGAACTCTTTTAGCAATATTGCGCAATAGCTGTAAAGCTCCAGGTCTTGTGCTTTCGCGAAGTGAAATAACACGTTCTGCCAAACGATCGTACTCAGCCCACTGTCGGGTTGTTCGCTCCTCCTCCACTCTGCTGGCATCGCTTTCAGCTCTTGCTGCTTGGATGGCAATGATACCACTGCTCGTATTCTGGAAAATCTTTGCCATATTCTCGTTGACCCGGGTAGCACTGGATGCCGCTGTAAGACTGCTAGTGCTGCTCGTGAGGAGGGAAGCACTCTCAGGTATCTTTGTAGAGTCAGAGCGAAGGTCATCCTTCAAATACTGCTCGAAGGCACCCTCAATGGCAGGGTGCTCTTGGCACATAAGGTCGACATAATAAGCTACTTCAGGAGGAACCTTGCATCCTTGGTGGACAGTAAGTGTCTTCATACGACAAAAGGACCAGAAGTCACTGCTGTGTGAACCTGATGCCTTCATTGCAATAAAGCGCACTTTCTCTCTTGCTCTCATAGCATCCTTCATCATCTGAGCACAACTTGCGTGGGTTGTTTGATCAAAGTCATTAAGCTCTGGTTGCATGTTGCACACGATGTCATGCATTCGTTCATCTTCCTCTTCGGCACTGAAATGGAGGTGGCACAGAACCTCGTTGTTTTCTCGATCGTTGACGAACTCGGAAACATCAACCCAAAACTGCTTCACAGGGCTGCCGCCACCAGATGCTTCGAAGTCTTCTCTTGTCTTCCTGTCATTCAATGTGATGAATCGTTCACAATGGTCAGGATGGAAGCAAGCGTTGATGATCCTCAAGTACGTGTGTCGCTTCTTATCTTTCGCAAGGGTAGTGCTGTTCGGTACCTCCGACAAATTGTAGGCCTCTCCTTGGATGCAGCGACTCGCCATCTTCAACCTGCAGTCGAATTTCGTGGCAGAGCTCAATGCCTTGCACCCAAAATTGGAAGCTACCTTTCGGAGGTTGTCACTGGTAAGATCATTCAAGACAAATTTGTTGTAATTGCCTTGTTCTTCACTTCCGACCTCAACAAACTGAGCAACTTTCCAAGGCCCAGGATTCTCTTTATTGCGTGGGTTCATTTCTTCTCCAATGAGAAGACGCTTCTTGTGTTCGAACCGGAAGGCTGCTAATGCTGGGTGGAGTTCCTGTTTGTTCCTTGCCGCTGCTTTCTTCTTTTCGCCGGTGGGTGTTGCTCGGCCTGTATTGCTTTTCGATTTCTTTTTATTGGTCTTCTTGTCGACACCGGTCATCACAGCCTCAGCTGTTACAGCTGTTGCACCACCAGTAGCATCCTCGAATGTATCCCTGCCATCACAAGCAACTGGTTCACTTGTCCCATCTGTCCTGATTGGAGAGAAGTTAGAAGCAGCTAATGGCCAGTTAACGACGGGGGGAAGGTCACAACGGCGAGTGTTGAAGTCATGGACAGGTGCAGGTGTGTAATCCATTCCGTAGAAATTCATGTTTTGGCGACGTTCCTGGAGAGTTGTTTGCATGCTTGCACGAAACTGTGTTTGCCAGTGTGGGGGGTTGGTCGCCACTGGTGATGGGTACGCAGGTGGTTCAATGCTCTCACCTGTTTCCGCTGGTGGGTATTGCTTGTGATGGAATGGTACTTTGTCCTGGAGCTGGTGCTTCTGCTGTAGACGAGACATTTGCTTTGGTTTCTGAGCTTCTTCGTACCTTGCTTTTGCTTCTTCTTCCGTTAGCTGTGCCAGCAATGGAGTATCTTCTTCCAACGTGTTGTCCTCCTCATCCTCTTCGGAACTCTCAACAGCCTGTGACAAGGACAGTTCGGCCTTTCTACGCCGTGCGACAGCTATCGCTGCAAGTGCTTCATCAGAACTATCAAGGGTCTGAGCCAATGACAGTTCGCCCTTTCTACGCCGTCCGACAGCTGCATCTGCAAGAGCTGCCTCTGTGTCAGCTGCCTCTTGGGCTGCTCTGGCACGAGCTGAAAGTATCTGACGACGAGTGTCAATTGAATCGTCAGAGTCCAAGCTCAACAGAATGTTGTCTCTATCCTTGGCTTTTTTCTTCTCTTTTGGTTTTTCCTGCATCATCATCTTGGTCACGAGAAACAGCCCTAACACTGCTCTGCAACCTCTAATGATGAATATCTTTGCTTTGAATATCTTTGCTTTTGTTGGATAATGAGCCGATAATGATGCACAAAAAAAGGAGCAAAGTTTGCGACGGAACGTTGAGCGATTTATGTTTTGTACATCATCTAATAATCTATTTGGACACTCCAACCAATGGTGCTCCTCGAATTTTCTCACTTAGCCTTCCAACTGATGCGTTCACCGTTTTGCATGCATCATCCCCATCTGTTCCAGGCATCTTGGTAGCAATCTGCAGCATCATCAGACCTCATGCCACGAATTTATTAATACATACAAATAGCAAGTGGTAAAAGCAAGTATGTGTACCAGTACGGAAAATGAAACATTTTGTGGCAACTCACACGGCTGGCAAGGCCGCCATGCTTTGAGTACAAGAAACGCACCTCCAGCAATAAATAGGATGTGAGAAAGCCCCCACACTGACACCGGTATTCCGTGTAGGACATGTCCGATGTGACATAGCTGGTGTCAGAAAATGTTCGGTTGAGGTGCGATGAGTACCGCTTTGTGCCATGCGATAAGAACGGGTATCAGCACAAGCCAGCCCGTCGCCACCATTCCGTGCTCAAACAGTCTAGTCATTTATTTTGAAACTCCCTGTCTTGAACCACCGACAGTTTTATTGATGATGCGGTAGTAATAATAGTAGTACAGTAGCAGCAGCAGTAGTAGCCGATGCTGTTGTCGGCTCAGTGGTGCCCTTAGCTTTCAACGGGGGTTTAGTAGTTGTTTTCCTTAGTCGTGCGATAGATTGCTGGCCTTCCAAAAAGTTCTGATCCTCACTGACGCTCCTCACAGCTGCTTCACTAGCAGAGCAGTCCAAATAACACTTCGACCTTCGGCCTCACAGAACAGAGTTCGCTGAAATTTTAAAATAGTATTATAGTTCATAGCTGTACAACCATCGGAAGCCCAGCCGTCGGCGCCTACAAATGTAATTGATCGATTGACGAGTCGCTCGTGCTTTCGTTGGTAGTACCTCTCCTTTAGTACGGTACCGTACCGTACCGTATCTCTCGGGCTTATCTTTCTTCAATGTTGTCGTGTTGATTGAGGTCTGCCTTTAGAAGCAGAGATTGCTCCACGAACTCAAAGAGAGGGGAATGAAGCCAATGAGCACAGCTCGGCCTCACGTTGATCAATCTCGTATTTAAAACGGCTTCAAGCTGAGCTTTGGGTCAAAGCTCTGACAACTCACGCACTGTGCTCTCACTTCTGCCACCAGCTGGCACCTCTCCCTCTCTATTAGTAATATACTGTTTTACCATAGAAAATTAAATGCCTTACCGTAACCTCCTCTATCCCTTATTGCAACACAAAGCTAGCCTCCTGAGACTGCCTCCATGGAAGCTCAAGGAAGATAGCCGTTGACCATACTTCGTACCACCGTACCATCATTCATACCAGTACTGAGAAGCTATCAGTACCGTACTCCAGCAGCATCTGCATCAATTGCACCGGTGTAGTCAGAGCTTGGCTAGGATTGTTACCGTGAGTACCTTGCCCTCCAACACACATAATGTGAGGGCTCACCCATCACAGATTTATTGTGGAGCATACTAGTACCTTGATAACTCTATTGAAAGACACCAGCAAACAAGTGCGGAAGCTATTAAAAGTAAAATTTCCCCAACCTTTGACTTAACCGTATTCAAAAATTACAGCAAAAAATTGGTTTTTACAGGGTGGGGGATCATTACTGGACTTTAGCCGCCACCGGTACTGTACCTGGATGACTGTTTGTGTGGGAGTGACCATTCCATTACATGCCATCTGGAATAAGTGTGCAATGTCCACCAAATGTTCATCCATGTCCAATCCATGTTCATCAATGTCCCGAATCCCTAAACAATCAATGTGGATGTGCCAGTTTTGCTTGTGCATCTCATGTATGACCTATTATTTTTAAGGAGTTATTGCACTATCAATCTATGCCCAGTCTGTTCGTGGTTTGAGATGGCTCCATAAATCACATTGTTTAAGGTGTCTAGGTCATCCTTGCTTATCAGAGATATAAAGCCACGACCTCCTAACTAAGACTGAAAACACCAAGTCCTTTCCAGATTTATTTTGTACTAAGCGCGAGAGAATCAAGACTGGCCTGACTCGCCCATTGAAAGAAGGGGTGTTGTAATGTCATTTAGGATAGGGACCTGTGTGGAGTATCTTTGGTTTCGATTACTTAAGAAGTGGTCTCCTAGCTAGCTAGTAGAGTCATTTTACGTGATGTTGTATTGTAAGTTGGATGATTTATTTATCCAAAATGCGCTGGTAACGCGGTACAAAGGTAACACAGTGTTGTACCGGTGGCTGCGGAGCTCCGCATGGCAGGTTTCTAGTGGCGCCAGCTCTTGATGATGGCGACCTACAAAAATTAATGAACTGGCAATTGTTGACCACGCTATTACGAGGTGCTACTAGTAGCTGGATACCCCACTTTTAGAAAGGAGCCAGATCTTACTCCGTTCCAAGGGTGGACAGCTGCATGCGTAATAGCAGCTCTTGCCAGTCAACAGGTTGTAGAATACCCTCCCACCCGTGGTGCCGCCGATTCTGCATTGTTTAGCAAGCAAGCAACAACGTTGTACGAAAATAGCAGCCATGGCGCAGCAATCAGAACGAGTCGATGGAGGAGAGGCTTCTTTCCTCAACATGGTGCTGGAAGTTGATCAGGAGGCATCACTGAACGACAGCTTTAGCACCTTGGGCATCCACAGCATCTTTAGTGACGCCAAGGTCAACAAGGCAAGCAAGGCCAAGCAGCAACAACGCAGCAATAAGAAAGCCTCCTCAGGATTCAATGCACTAGACAAGTTCTTTGAAGAAGACACTCAGGCCAGCGAAACTGTCAAAGATACCGTGGACCTGAGGACCTTACTGCAAAAGGGAATCAAGGCTGAAAACCAGAGCAAGCACGCTGGCAACCGATGGCTCGAGTCTGCGGGCAAGTCTGTTTCCTGCCGAAACTTGAAGTATGATTCCAATGCATGCATAGAGCCGCCTAGACGGTGTCCCGCGCCACTAGAAGTCAAAGATTTGTCCAAGGCATGTCGTGAGGCTGTGTCCCAAGCTATGCAGCTCACACACAGGCGTTCAGCTACCATGGATGCGTCTGCGGATTCCAATGTCACAGAGGACAGCGATATTATGGATTCGTCAGTTCCCAACACACCCTCTTCTCGAAGAGACCGCATGCAAACGGCGAGCCGGTTGTCACAGTCATGCCGCCATTTGGGGACGACAAGGGTTAGCGACCTGGCCCAAAGCTACCACAACCCCCCTCTTTCGCCCAATGGTGCAACTTCCAAAGCTAGGAATTCTCTTGTCAAAAAGAACTCGGCCAAGAACCTACTAAGCGCAAGCTGCCGCAGTAAGATGACGTTGGGGCCGGATTCGCCCAAGAGACGGCTGATGAAGTCCAAGTCCGTGAGGCACATGAGCACTCGCAAGAGTTCTGAAGTTGAAGACAACGATGAGGACAGTATTGCTTTATCACCCTTCATTCGAGGATCCAGGCCCATGCTGAGATCCAAGTCTGTGAAGTATACAAGCACTCGCCTGGACCAACAACAGGATGATGACGAGGAAGAGAGCATGGCCTTGTCGTCTCTTCTTCGTGGTGCCTCGAACCATACATCCTCCAAGGGGCAACATTCCGTTTCGCACCGCAAATCTTTGTCTGCCCTTGGGAGCATGCCGGATATGGATACTTCGGCAACTTCGGGAAAGTCTCGTTGGACGGCTACTTCCGCGACGTTCTCTGCCCAGCATCAAAGTTCCATGTCACTGTTGAAACCTCAACGAATGGTGTCGGGTCACCGCAGATCCACATCCTTTGACAGCAGTTGTATTTCCGATCTCTTGTCAACCCCCGTCGCTCAGAAACCCAAGCAAAACAGTGCAACCGCCAACAAGAAGAAGAAAGCATCTCTGTCGTCCTGGCTAGAAAAGACACAAGACAGTGAAGAACTATATGATAGCAAACAGTTCCGCGAGAACCTTCATATCACACCGTGCAGTTTGAGGTCAACCATGGCCAGGGCGGGGCGATCCAAGTCATTTAAAATTGTCGCTGGAAAGGATGGCCGAAGGTCCATGTTGCAAGTCGGCAAGTCCTTGTCTGCTCGACAGCTGCTAGCAAGAGAAGACCTTGACAGTGTGCCGGAACTCACTCCCATGAGCGCAGACTCGGTCGTTCTTTCCACTCGTGAGGAAAAGACACCCGCACCAGCAATGGACGACAGTCTTCCTGGTCTGTCTCCCATTACTTGCACGTCCCGCACCATGACAACGGAAAAGGTTACGTCGACGTCTGCTGCTATGGAACTAGCCATTGCGTCCCCGCCACTTACGCGCAAAGAGGAGAAGAGAAACGACGTTGCAAGGGCAACCGAGCGCGACGTGAAGAAAAAAGATGTCCCCATGTTCTCAACGGAACACATCCTTCAGGAAATAGGCGCCGGTCTTGACTTTAGCCAAAGGAAAGCCTCCCCTGAACCCAAGAAAACAGTTCGCAGAGATTCTCTTTCGCTCTCGCGGCGTGCTCAGTCTTGTCGGCGCCTTTCCTCCACGAAGGAGGCATCGGTACGAAATCTCAACGCGGCATCGCAGCATGAGAACAGCAAGTCATCGAGAAGGTCAAGAGATGTGCCAGATCGAAAGTCTTCGCACGACAAATCTCAAGCGTCGCAGGAGGGGGAACTCCGCGATAGCAGGAGGGACAATCGTAGATTGTCAGCCAGCAACAGGCAGAAATCCTCTCGTAATGGAATGAAGAAGGAAGGATCCAGTCGCAAAATGGTTTCAACACCGGCAAGATCCAAGACTTATTCCACTCCTCAGAGTAGTAAGAAGGATCGTGAAGGTGACATGTCGGCGTCCCAGCGTGGCCCCCGACGCCAGTCGTCAAAAAAGCACCTCTTGAACAGATCCTTATCATCTTCTGTGAGTACCTCTTTGCATGGTTCCGTGCATGGATCCTTGCGAGACAAGTCTATTACCTCTTCGGCCGGTTCATCGAAGCAAGAGTTATCCCGAAGCAGCCGAGGTGATTCTCAACAGCCGGCGAGAAGGCAACGATCCTCGCGAAAACTATTGGGTACCAACGATGAGGGCAGCAAGAAGGAATGCTCCACACGCAAGCGTGCTTCGTCAGCCCGTGCCAGTAGGCGACGTTCCTCTCGTGCCAGCAAGGAATCGAGGCCCGGCAGTCCAAGCTGCGTCGCACAGTACTCACCAGGGAAGGACTCTCCTGGAAAGGAGTCATCACCCGCTCGGAGGGAGAAATCCACTTCCACCCGCGCTAGTAGCAAGAGCGGGAGTAAGAGGTCTTCTACTTCAAGCTTGACTTCGAAATTGGATGGCATTTTGAAGCGTCCGTCTTTGAAAGAGGACGCAGACGTACTGCTGAATGGCCCCGATGAATCTGAGGATAAATTGATGGCTCTGGGCTGCAGCCTACACGACTATAGCACGAAGAAAGCTCCGTCTCGTGGCCGTGGCAAAAGCAACCGAGATAAGTTGAACAATTCTGTGGTGTGGTAAAATGTTCACTTGCGCACGAGCAAAGTCCTGTGTGCAATGGATGCGCACAGGTAGTTTTGTGCGGTGTGAATGTGGAGACCATCGCGCGCCGCTGTGAGAGGAAGAAATGCATTGGATGCATCTATTTCCTGTTTACATATTCGGAATCGATTAAGTACACCTAACTTAATTGTGACAAGCAAAATTCCTTTTCATGACGCTGCACAAGTAGCCCCAGTGCCTATTATTATTCTAGCTAGTAGAATCAACGGCCCCAAACAAAGACCGCGGCCGGCAAGGTAGCTCGTTTTACATTAACCCAACCAGTTATTGTGTTTCCTCGCCATCTCCTTGTCCTAGTGGACTTTTTGCTTCCTTCTCGGGTGACAAGGCCGATATACTGGGTGGTTTCTCTTCCACAAAGTAGCCACTGCCAGAATCTGCCGCAACAAAATCATGCCGTCCTCGCGCTTCCTCTCGATGATCAAACAGATTGTTGATGAATGCACCGGTTTGGAAATCATTTAAGAACTGCGACCGATCCACCTGAGCCGCCCGTTGTCGTGTTTCTTCCTTGCGCGCCAGTTGTTTCGTTCCGGCAGCTCTGTGTTGGAGGTATTCTTCCTTGGACGCAATCGCCCAAACTTCCAGCGCGTCCACATCAAAAAAGGGAGATGACGGCATGCCATCGGGATCATCTGGCAAGAGTGCACCCGATGCATAGGTGGTATCGGTAACAGTCGCTTTACAATTCTCCAAGGAAGGCGTCAAATGAACTCGCGGTGTATCCGCCGAGATTCCACCCATGGCCAATCCCCGCAGTGCGGTTGCCTGCTGCTGAATGCCACTGTTTTGAGGCGATGCATTGAGGTACATGTAGTGCCCATTGGATGTTTCCCACGTGGGCCAATACACTCCTAGATCATTGTCGTTTATATAGAACAAGAAGGAATCAAATCCCTCACCCCCAAACCACGAATTGGATTCTTTCCAAGGAGAGTCCGTGTAGAAGCCAAACACAGATGACGGCGTAGTAGTGTTGTTGTTGTGTCCCTCTTTTTTTGGCCGAACCAGCATGACAGTGGCGCCCGTGTAACTCAACAGAGCATTCTGCAAGGCGAGAAAGGAGAGACCGTCCCAGTTGCTGGAATAGAGTCGATACCATTTATTTCCACTACTCAAGGACGGTGCCATGCATGTCAAAGTCAACGGTATATTGTTGTTGTAAGAAGAAGAAGACGAAGAAGAAGAGCCTCTCCAGAAAAAGGAATCTTGATCTGTTTGTGGCAAGGAGAGTGGTGGTAGCGAGTTGGGCCCCCTACTAGTAGATGATGATGATGTCCCACTGTTAGGAAATAGTACGTGGTAGTAAAAAGTGCTGAGACCTCGAATAGATTGTGGGAGGACATTGTTGATCCATTCGGTCCACGCCGATCTGGACACGGAGGATCCAGCTGTTTTGGACAGCGATCGAATCCACGCCTTGGGAGGATCCGTCACTATGTTTTGTTGTTGCTTGTGAATGGTGGTGGTGATTTGCAGTGCTGCCATCAAATGCCGATACAAAATGTCCACCAGCGCCTCTGGAGTGGGTCCGCCTCCGTTAGTTGTAGAATTTTGGCCATTGGAAGCAACCGTGTAGACAAAGTTGATCAAAAAGCGAGATCCGCGTCTCCCCATCATGGAGACCATGGCTTCCAAAAAGTAAAAGGCACTACAGAGAGCAGACTTCTCCTTGTCATCGGGAATATCATAAGGAAGCAGAGGACACGCTAAATTGGGAGCTTCCACAAACAGCCACTGTCTTGCTTTGGGGAGAATGGATTCTTGAATCTGCCGTAATGTCGTGGCATGCCATTCATCATCATCATCTTGATGGGTGTTGTTGTTGTGATGCACAATTTTCACCGAGTCATTGGTTTCGTCATTCGTCGTCAATGGAAACAGAAGAAGCAGGCGATCCACTTCCGTCTCGGTCAAAGGAAACTTGTCCAGGAACTTTTCCTTGTAGGCAGACAGGTCGTCGTCGTCGTTGCTCGTCGTCGTTGTTGCTGTGGATGTCATGGTCAACACTCTCTCCTCCTCTTCCAACGTTCCGTGAAACAAAAAATGGCCGAACGTTTGAATTGGAGCATTGGAGCGGGTTGGACTTTTCTAAAAAGCCGATGAAGCTGTTTGAGTGTCGTAAACGAAAAAAAGATCCACTGGCTCATCTTTTCTCGCTTGGTATCTTGGGTCATCAAGCAAGACATCGAAAGAAGGTCGCCTTATTTGGCTCTTTGCAATTGGGAAGGGAGATCTTTCACAATCTATTACAACAGTTACTGTTGCGAGAAGGGCATAGTACGATCGAGGTAAGACTTGTGCATCATGTTGGCCAGCTTCGGCTGTGAGAGTGTGTCTTGGTGGTATTGACTTTTATAAGGAGGTATTGTAGCGAGTTCTGACTTGTGCTGGGTATCAGAGTATCTTTCTCACATTAGTTTTGGTTGTTGCCATCTCTCGATTCTCGTCGTCAAGTTAGTTAGTAGAAGTACGTCGTACCAACACCAACAATATCATCATGATTGACCCACGAGTGTTGGAAGAGGAGATTCCGGCGGAATGGTTCATGTTTGCCAGTTCGGAGGATGCACAGCATTCCAATGAGGTCTACAATGTGGGCAACACCATGAACTTGCCCGATCCCAATGGACGAGAAGGTGGAGCCTGTACCGCTGCGTTTTTACAGGCTTGTTATCGGGATGAGCGTGATACTTCGGTAGACCTCAGTTATGTCGGTATTCTGCGAAAGATGAGAGACGCCATGGACGAATTGGGATTCGAAGATCAGGTAAGGTTTCCATACTAGCTATAGCTAGCTACCCAGTCGGCTGTGACTACTACATTACTAATCCAATTTGCAATTTCTCCTGTTTCATCACACAGAACCCCCAACTCTCGTGCAGCCGCGAGATTGATATCAACAAAACCATGCACATTGTGCCTCCTGGTTGTGTGGGAAACAAGCGTGCGCTCTTGGTGAGGAGAATACATGCCTGCTGGCAAGTTAGTTTTCCGAACAGTGGCCATGCTCATTCTTTTGCTGTTTGTCAAATCAATATGACTTTCTTAGGTCGGGATCAACTATGTCGGACAAAAGGGAGAGCTCAAAGCCTGTCACAATGATGTCAACAATGTTAAAAAGTTCCTCATGGATGTGCACGGATTTGCGGAGAGGGATATCCTCTGCTTGATGGATGATGGGGTGCAAAAAATGCCCACCAAGAAAAATATTGAAACCGGATTTCGAATCTTGACGTCGCGCAGCAAGCCAGGAGATGTGGTCTTTGTCCTCTTTTCCGGTAAGCTCGAGCTACCACAAAGTCGACTTGCAGATATCACTATTCAATTACTGTGATGCGATTCTCATTATGATGGCTTCTGCTTCTACGTTCTGTACCTACAGGTCACGGTGGACAACAACCAGACGAAGACGGTGATGAAGAGGATGGCTTGGACGAAACACTCATTCCTGTGGACTTTGACAAGAGCGGCCACATCATTGATGATGATATCCTCAAGATTTTGGTCAAGCCAATGAGGATGGATGTGCACTGCACTGTCATTATGGACTGTTGCCATAGGTACGTGACGATGTCAATTGAATTGCGCCTATCACGTATCAATGACGGCTTGGCGGCATTGCGCTGACCCATGGATTTCTTCTTCCAGTGGCACTGTACTTGATCTTCCCTACGTGTGCGGTCCCGATCACGACTCCATGGAACTGGAAACCGACTTCAAGGTACAGCCAACCTACAATACTTTGATTGAACGCATACAGCACAACGACAAGACACTGGTCGAACTGGCTTTGGAGGAACCCGAGGAGGAATGGCCTGCCGGGGAAAAGTTTGACGAACTCTGCGCCGCCTTGAGCAACAACTGGACCATTGAGGCCATCTATTTGAACAGTTTCTTGGATGAGTATTCGGAGGAAGACAAGGACAAGCTCTTTGCGGCCATTGGAAAGATGGAAGAGCTTTCCGAGATCCACATTGATGTCGCCAAGGGTATCACCTTTCAGCAGCTGGAACCAATGGTCCAGGCAGCACAGAATCTCCGTGTGCTAAAGTTTGCGGCGACTCAATTCAACAACAACGGCGCTGACTACAAGCAATTCGTTGAGGTTCTACGAGAGCATCCCAAGGTGAAGAAGTACAACTTTGATCGATGCTTCTTTGCGGATAAAAAAGAACAACCACCGTACGTGCCAAAACTACGAAAGAGATAAATCATCAGAGGGAAATTGTGGCATGCGGAGGACAACCGGACGAGGACTTGGTCGGTTTCGGAATCAATCAGGCTGCGTGCTTGACAATCAACTAGCCTTCAGTAGGACAGTGTCATTTACGTGAATTACATAGATAACCTACCGCAGCAGCGGTGTAGCTTTGATAATGACAAACAAACAAAAAACGCGCGTTGCATCTCCTTGTTACGGTCGGAGCGTATTTGACCTGGACTCAGGATAGCCCTTCAGCTGGAAGGTGCGCTCTTGGATCTTTGCGTCACAGCTGAGCGACAGGGAAGCTGTCCAATGTTACCTGTATTTGGTGACTTTCTTGCCTGTGTTCCACCTCGTGACTGCCTACACAAGAGGTGACTGTCTACACAAGAGGGGGCGATCTTTCAAGCAATAATATTGCAGATAACAAATACTCACAAGCATTAGGCTCCTCTTTCAGCCACCACTGCTAACGGGCATCACGAGCTAAGACTTGCACAAACAAAGACAATTCATAGATACCTGAGGCTTAGCAGGATATAGAGCAGGTTGTAGCTACAATATTTTATGGGCCAAATGTGTCAGTGGGTACCACAAAGTTGACGCCAATGAGGCTGACCAAAGTACGTGTACCCTGAGTCATTCAAGACTGGAGGTATATCGTCGCAAGACTAATACCTGAATCAGGGTCTTCATCCAAGTAGCAAACTTCATCCGTCATGTGTGTTTGGGGTGGAAATCTCTTTTCTCGAATCACAGTAGCGAGTTTTGTATTTGGGCCAATTGCAGTGACCACCGCCTCCCCAGAGCCTTGCACCACATGCGAGCCGAGGAACAATTGTATAGGTTTGAAAGCCTTCTTCTCGCAGCTCCGGGGCTTGTCCTCCCCAGTGACATACCGCCCATCCACGAGCATTTGGCCATCATCAACCGATAGGACAGTACAGTCGGCAGGGACAATGTCGCCCTCTTCCAACCTTATAATATCCCCTCGAACTAGGCTCGTGGCATCGTATCGTATCCTAACAATCCACAAAAACTAAGTCAGCTGGCCGAGAGGCTGACAAAAATGGGAATATACAACCAAGTCTACATGCTCAGCTTTGTTGGTGACTTACCAATGACCGTCCCTTAGTACCTCCGCGTCTTCTGGCTTGATCATTCGAAAGGTCTTCATGCTGGGGATTGATTTGATGCATGGTAGCAAACAACAAACCCAAGCAGGACAGTTGATTGGCGGATCTACCACATTGAAGCCCCCGTCTTCTTCTCGTCTTTCAGCGGCATCATCCGTCGAGAGACCTGTCTTCCGGTTTGTCTTGAGTTGACGAAGAAGATCTTCCTGGGTCTGAGACAAAGACATGATCAATACAATCAGTACGGTAGATAAGACAAGTAGCCTAAAGGAGCAAGTAGAAGAGAGAAGGGAAAAGGATGACACGACTGTACCGGTACCCCTATTAGACGCCTTTACAACAACGGGCTTTGATGGAAGAGGAAGTGGGATGAATGATACACAAACTGTGCAAGGCAGAAGGCAGAGTGTGTGCAGTTCGAGTGTACTTCAGCATTGAGCACTTCGAGCGCAAAGAAGCTGTTACGAGGACAGATCGAATCGAATCGAATCGAATCGGACTAGCCAGAGCGGACGCCGCGAAAAAAAATCGGACGAAGCATTATTCCAGCAAAGTTGTGTGACACTGCTATGGTCCGGTCTGACAACGATTCTCTTGCCTCAACAAAGCCCGGTTTGGCAGGAATTAGCCAACCATGTACAGGTACGGTACCAGTAGCTACCAGCACCGCCTCGTTTCCAATTCAAGCTACTCTGAAGCAAAGTCCTGATCCTGAGTTTTGGTACAGGCTAGCAAGGCCTCGTCTAATAGAATTATTGATTTCAAGTATCCTCTTGTTAGCGTATTTATCATTGCACCACAGACTCGACAGCCGCTGGAGTGGGGTGATAGATGTGCCCTCCCCAAACTGAGGATTGCCATCAGCCTAGTAATTCAGCACATGATAATGTTTCCACTGATGATTGGAAGCATAAGACCCTTGGGAAGAAGTTTCTTGAAGTGGGGGAGGCATGGAGTTGTCCATTATTTGTGCATAAAATCACTCTTGCTAACCACTCCAGAAGGTTGACAATGACTATTGGCAACGGCAAAGAGACGGACTGTGATACACCCAATGATGGAGCAGTATGCATATGGTGAGTCCAGTCACAAGCATGCTGAGCACCCACATCATGTAGAGCAGTCCCACACCATCGCCTTATTCGGCGGCGTTCGTCTGGCACAGAGTTGTGAGTTGATTGGGAATTGAAGTCTGCAAAGAAAAATCCTCCCCGTACATGTAGTTCTTCATGGGCTCTTCACCAGCCACCAAACCAGCTCACGTCAGTGTTCGATTTCGCAAGAACCGCCCAAACTTGGATTCATATTGAGAGTTACTCTTGTCCAGGAAGTCTTGGGTAAACAAAAAGTTCCATTGCTGATTGACTTGCGGTGCATGAGTGTAACTGGAAGGTACTCCGGCTCCCTCCAACAACTGTGTGGCCGTTTCCAACCCATACTGATGCACAAATCCCTGCAACCACGCTACGATATCCATTGTAGGTCCATCCCTGGCATGTAATGCCCGAAACTCCCACGCTTCTCGTGATCGTTCTCCTCCCTTGCGACTGTCGTTTCTAAATGAGTAGGTCTCCCAAGTGCTCAGATAGTGATGGACACGCAAGAGCGCATGTTCATTGATATCGAGAATTCGTTTGGGATCCCTACAGAGATCTTGAAAAGGACGGTGTGGATTGACGGGGTTTGGAAAGTGTGGTTTGGGGATTTGTACCCTGCTCAAATCAAGTATAGTCTTGGCCAATCCATTGCGATCGAATTCACTGTAATGAGCATGATAGAACCATCTGATTGTGTCTAGCCGGTTCTGAAGCTGTTGTGGTAGTACGGATGGAACTGGGCTGCTGCTGCCGCTTTGCTCAGCAAAGTCAGCGCTAGTTGTCGTGCCAAAGAGAATCCGTGGAATGGAGATGCAGGGACTAGCAAATTGTTCATATTGTGTCTGATCGTTTGTATTGCCAACTTGCTGGGATTTCTTGGTCATGTCTTGCACAAACTGATAGACACCACCCTGAGTTGCCATTGCGGTTGAAAAGTCGTGTTGTGGATTTTCCATAGTGAACGTGTCTTTTCGAATGACCAAGTATTCATCCACATCCAAAAGTAAGGTCCATTTCTTGAGACCAAGAGAGTCCAAGTGCTCTAGACAGTACTGATAAAATGCTTTTTGTCGGACTCGATGCACCATGGTCAATTGCTTTCGTCCCAACTCAAAAAGTCGATTCCGTTTGTCGCGGACCCGAGCTCCCATGTAATCGTCATCACCCCAAATTTGATACTGCAACCCGTAGGGCTTCCATCGTTCCATAATCGGTTCGGGAGAGGTTGTACTACGTGGATCTATGGCCACAATCAAATAGCGTAGATTCATGGTAAAATGATGATACGCCAACCATTCCACCAAACGATGATTGTCGTCCATCACCAAGATACAACCCACGGAAGTCGAATTGGTTGACGCTGCATCTTCTTTCGATGGATTTTTTTTGTTCGGTTCCTCTTTTGGATGGATGTGGTTGTTGGAAGGATGCATCTCACTCGTGGTGGTCGTCCATACCAACTGGAATTGCATCACGAGCCACAAACAGGAAACGCTCAACAGCAACAGCTTGACAATCACGTGTCGTCTGGATGGCGATGATGCTGACTTGATTGGCGGCATCTTTGGATCAATACGCTTCCCAGTGCAGCGCTGCTACACTACTTCAAACATCCAAACAGCATCATGGCTCGTCCATCCGTCATCAAAGGCAAGATCTTGTTCATCATATCAGAAGTTCATCAGCAGTACCGGTAGAGTTGCAACGTCGCAGCGTTCGAAGAAACCTTCCGAGATTGGAGACTGACCTGGAGGCTACTTTCCAAACCTTGATTTTGGCAGCTATGACGTCTTATCGGGACGTTGACTGTCGACCTCATTTTTCTCTCTGACAATGACACATGCGGGAATGCGCTCAAAGTGCTGCTCGGCAACGTGAGCGGACAAACAGCTGTGCCAAAACACTTGCGGATACTTGGAAGAGAGAGCACCTCGAACTTGACAATTGACAGTAAACCGAAGCATACAAGCATGAGCTTGAGTAGGCTCAGCGCACTGATGAAGATTCCGCACTCTCACGATAACACTTTTCTCACTGATCCTTCAACGGCTTATCAAGCACCAACGGCTTTCATGCAGCAGCAAAATTTTGGGAGATGGAAACAGACTACGGTACGGTACGGTACGATTGATTTTCTTTCATTCGTATAGATTTATCCAAGTCAAACCGACTGGATGCAATGATGAAGTTTTCTCTTTGCCTTTTTGTCTTGAGTTCTGTCTTGGCAAAATCAACATGCCAAGCACAACAATATCTGCGACGAAAGCTGCTTCAGGACGATATTACCCAAGCCGCCGACATTAGTCTTGTTAATTTTCTGATAACCTTGGCCTTGCCCAAAGTAAACGATGGAATCAAATTGAACGCTCCTGATCCCTTTCCCGCCAATCAAACTGGTACTTACCATATCGCGTCAAAATGGATTCCATTGTGGTGCAAATCGGCATCCATCGATCTGGACTACAGCGTTGGAGGTATGCACTGGTACCGGTAGCTTCATGTTGTCCCATCTATCTATATCCTTTGGTGTTGGATGTATGTGTTTCTCATTCGTTATTACTGCTTACATTTCATGTTGCACTCGTAGAAATCCTTGGTTTGTCGGAACTCTACGTTGATTCACTATCAACAGTGAACATCAACGTCAATCATGACGATTCGGAATGGTCGGGTAGCTTTCTCGCATCCATAGCCACACCAGGCATGATCACGGCCGATAACTTTCAAAGTACACTTCGGGCAAGTTGTGCAGCGAATGGCAGAGAAAGGACCTGGACAGTCGTGTGAGTTTTAGTTAGGCACTGTGCCGGAATTCAATTGCTTAGTGCGTGCTCTAAACAAAGTTTGCTTCGTCCTCTGTACCGTCTTCTGTCATCTCGATCTTGTCGAGAAAAGAGGCGGGGAGATGGTGGCCGTGTCACCAACGTTGGATTTACAGCTGGATATTTCGGGGACTCTGTGCGGGCCGGGATGCTTGGAACTGGGTAATGCCTCGATTCCACACCCATTGGATCTTAGCTACGCAAGTATAGTTGCAAATGTGGAAGAATCACCATGGTATGTCCCTGGTTTGGTGATGGAGAGATTCGTTGGGTTTGGATCCGACATTCTCAGGGCAGATGTGATGCAGTTTGTGGATATCCAAATGCGACCAAAAATCGAGGAAAGCCTTCTACGGGAACTTCCTGTTTTGCAATTGCTGAGATGAAGCAAGCATCCAACCAGCACGGTACCTCAGTTCGATGAAGAGAAGTGTAGCTGTGGCAACTTCCTGCGGGCCTGCCTCTCTTGGTCCCTTTGCAAATAAACTCACAGCTCGTAGTGAATGCGCCCCAGTGTGAAAAACAGTCCTGTTGGGCATGGGAGCGAACACGTCAAGGATGAGGCACCCCAAGGCCAGCGCAGCACCTATCTATGTCTGAAAAACTTCCTACTTCGGAGCAAACAAACTAATTCCTAAACATACATACACACACGTTACAAGATCATTTCGTTTCTTATGATATGAGTTAAATCGTATGAGTTACGTGATGGCGCTAAAAATGAATGAAAAACTGTCAAGATGCAATGAATGGATTTTTGGTTTCAAATGTCGTGTCACAGGCACAACATTCCGCATTCACCGACCCTCGACTGGTCGCTCACGACCTGGCCGCAAAGGAGAGCGATTGGTGAACAAACTCTTCGTGACGAACCACCATGGACGCCAAATCATACTTGAATGATTCGGTTCCAAAGTTGCAATGAATCAGATCATTGGTATCAATTCCCACGACGGGGTACATGTCTCGTTCGAGAATCTCCAATGGCAAGTCCGTCCAGGCATAACCGAGGAATTTTCCATTGAGGGTGTAAAAGATACCCCTCATGACATGATCGATACCACATCCAACCACATCGCCACGTCCAAACGAGGGACCGAATTCCTTGAGCATTCCTCCCGACGAATGAAAGATACCGCCATCGTCACCATGATATCCAAACGATGCGGCATCCCATCCTGGCATGCGGGTATGCCAGTCGAATGTCTCGGTCGCAACACCCACCGCCACACAGTCCTTGACATTGCTGGGACGTCGGTTATTCATATTTTCCTGGGTATCATTATCATCGGCGGGTGGTGCCATGATGGACACTTCATAGTACGACACAAAGCGCGGTGTCAAATGGACCGTGGCCTTGTCCTGTGTGACAAAGGGTGCCACAAAGGGTCTCCATGCCGGTTTGGGTGGCGCAATGGCCCGTTTCGATCGACAAAACAAATCCAACAATCCACCATGACTGCCACTGCCACCGTGACGATGACTGTAATCACTTTCGCGATTGGGACTGACGAGTAGCTTGTAGGTTTGTGGGGACGAAGGTGGTACCATCCATGCCTTCTTTTGAATCAATGTCGGACGAGGCAATGGTTGATTGGATCGCACGCATCGATCGCCCATTCCGACACGGCCCGTGAACTGGACCATCCATTGTTGGTGTTCGGGACGGAATTCGTAGTGGAGCAGTGGTTGCTGATTTCCGTCGGTGGTGTGAACGCGCAGGCGGGATCGACGACGTCGACTGGAGCTGCTGACATTGGCATAACGCCATGTCTGGTACTTGTGCAACTGAGCTTGGTCGATATCTGCTGGCTGCTGTTGGGCCATACTCAACAAGAGGGACAAGTTAGCTTGTTGATGCCATGGCGACGGTTCTGGCAGCATGGCCGACGAAGCCGGACGTGCGGCCGTGGGCAAACTGAGATCATCGATCAGAATGACGCCATTGTTAGTCTTCTTCTGCTCCATGATGGGCTGCTGTGCGGTGGCGGTGGTGGGCATTAGCTGAGGCCATTGGTATCTGTGACACCAAGACTGCCACAAATTCTGAGCATCCTGAGTGAACAAGAGTTTTCGATAACGACGATTGGTGGCCATGACGGCTCGCACATCGGCCAGAGGCAAAAAGGAAAGAAACTGAACTTGCAAATCATCCGCCAAATCTTCCAACTGAAGTACTCGGGGCCTTCGCTTCTTGTTTTTCTTCTTGTTAACCTTGGTAGTGTTGTAGCTGAAGTTGGTAGCAGTCACAAAGGGAGGAGGTGGAGGAAGACATTCGGCTTGTTTTTCTTCCTCTTCCTCTTTATTGCCACTGCTGCTGATGTATCGAAAGGCCGTTCCCACTGCCATGCGAGGAGTGGCAAAGGATCGCGACATGGGAAAGGCAGCCGACGACGACGACATGGCCTCGCGATCCAGTAGCACCTTGGCCAATTCCTTGGGACTGTTGTTGTTGCTCCTTTGGGGAGAAGAAGAAGACGAATCACATCGCCTCAACACTCCAATATCCGAGGACAGCGCCAAACGAGCCGCCGTTAAACGAGGCGACAGTGGCTGTTGCTGAAGTTGGGCATAGGCTCGCAAGGGTACAATACTCTGTCCCGGCAGGTGAGAGTGAGAGAGCATCCCGTTGGCTTGTTTGTTGCCCCATTGGCTGCTGCTGCTGCTCATGAATTTGCTCTTTGGATGCAGAGATAATGGCACGTCTTCTTCCATAATGATATCTTCCAAGCAGGCAAACGATGCCACTCGAGAAGTCATGGTCGATTCTGCTTCCTTGAATTCTTCGTCAATGGCTGGATCGTCGTAGCAAGTGTGGAACGACTCGGCCAGAGAATAGTTATCTTCGGAGACGGCGGATGCCAATGAGACACTCGAATACCGATGATATTGATGGCTTAATGCAAATGAGTTGCTGTTGTTTCCTCTGTTGTTATTGTTACCGGAGAGCACCTCCATGGTCTTTTATGGTTGATGGTGTGATGGGTAGCGGTATCCTAGAACAACTTGAGATTCTGCTGTTCGCATTGGTTTTATTATAGCTGCCAGACTATCTTTCTCATTCCATCCATCAGTTTTGTTGCCAAGGAACAACAGAAGGGTTCTACCTGCTGCTGGTTATGGATCTCGCAGCTGATTTCGCCCGTCTTTGATTGCTTGATTGATGGCCTTCGAAGAAAAACTCGCACTTCCGAACTTGATGGGTTCGCTCGTTCTTTGTCTTCTTTGGAAATTATTGTGTCCAAGAAAGATCCAACCTTCCGAATTTCCTACGAGTCATGACACCAATACCGGTATTTTGGCGTAACATCTTGACACCATTTCTGTCACGATGTTAAGTCTTTGATTCCGATGGTCGGAAACCTTGGCATCATTGCGACTAAAGAAGAAAACAGATGCTTCGAACCGTTAGCGAACCGAACACCCTTCTTTTTCAGCTGGCTCCAAATCGTGCTTTGCAGAAGCCTGCACATGCCAGTGTACTCGCAGGTCTGCTGGCTTGTCACCCAGTCTAGTTAGCCCTAATGATCCTTAAAGCGACGTCTCATTTAGGGCTAAACCTTGCCAGGAATGTTCTTCCTTCCTTTCCTCTCTCTCTCTCTCTCGGGGCACTTTTTCGTCAGTTTGTTTTGCTCCCTCATTTTTCAGCTTCCTCGCAAAGCAAAAGGTAAGACGATGATGCTTTCGATGGCGACGAAGGAACCGATCGACGACGCACAGCTTTGATGGACTCGATTGGAGGCGCAGATGGAAACGACGACGAGCTAAAGGAAGGAACCGTGTGTGGCAAAAGGACGCTAGAAACCTTCGGTCGAACGTTTTGAATCGTCGTGCCGTGTCCTCACCACACCAAACCAAAGCACTCTTCCTCCTTCTTTCGTCTCTTGGTGCTCTCTGGAAACCACTAGCACGGTGGGACGAGACAGAGATGACTGCGACAAGAAGAGACGAACGTTCACGCTTGAAGAGCTCGTGTTGGAGATCAACGATTCGATTCTTCGAGCAAAGTGTCGAGACCGGTGTCGTTGTCGTCAACGGTCGAAAGTCTCACGCGAGTTCCTTCTTCTCTGCTCTCTCGTAGAAATCCCAGCTCTCTTCATTGCAAGGTAAGTCGATGATGAAGGAAATGACAGTCAGCAGTGGTTGACGAGACGCACGGGTTGGAGCAACAGCGACGACGACAAGAAACAGCCGTTGACGTTTCCAGCAACTCAACTCACCGTCTCTTCCTCTTCCATCTTTCATTCGTTCCATTCGCAGGTTCCTGTACTCTCTTCTACTACTCTTCTTCTCGACAAGCTGCTATCATGTTTTTCTCGAAGACTTTCATCTGTGTTTTCCTTCTCTTGAGCGGCTTTGCGTTTGCACAAGCTGGTCGTGGAGTACGCGGCGGTGTGTCCAGTCGCAGTGCTGTCGAGCGATCTTTGATGCGAAAGGGCGCCAAAGGAATTAAGGACGACGGCTTGAAAACGAACGAAACCGCCAAGTCGTCAAGCGGAATGATGATGAAGATGCAGTGCAACGGCACCATGGATTTGATGGTGGAGCTGGACGAAGACATGACGACTATGCCCCCCGGCAACTACACCACAGGAACGTCACGATCGGGCAAGAGCTCGAAGATGAACTCTACTTCTCGCTCCGGCAAGATCGGCAAGATGAAGGGCGACAATTCGACTTCTCGCAGTCGCTCCCGTTCCCGTTCTATGGGCAAGTTGAAGGGTCCCAAGATGCCCTGCAATTAGTGAACCAACGCAGACAGTGGTGTACCGTTTTGTGCGAGGCTGCTTCCAAAGGAGCCATTTCGAGACAGTGTCGAGCGATCGTGCACAGGAACTATACATTGACAATCCAGCGAATGTTCCGCTGCCAAATTGAATTCTGTCACACCGCCTACGGCAAAGGTATCAAATGACACACAGTACTCGATAGTAGCTGATAAAGATCTATCAATCATAATTGTGCTTTCGCTACGGTACCTTACACACTAGAATGACATGACATGACATTACCAACATCTGCCAGAACAGATCGATCCTTGCCTCCCTTTGGAGCAGGTTTGCTCTATCCTCCTGCAGCTCTCCTCACAATGATAGTTGTCGTCGAGCTCATCCGCACCTACAATCGGTGTTGCTAGCTTCGCCTTGTTCCAATACTTTCCTGGTTGCGCGCCACCGCCGAATGTGCCTCCTTGCTGCTGCTTCACAAAATTGGCATTGAGGCGACCTGTAATACAGACGTACGGTCGAACAATCTGTTGTTTGGGTTTGCACGCAACCGACGACAGTTCCCCTTTGCTCTCAACGCGGCTTCATTGTACACCCGGCCACTGAGTTTATACATGTACATGTCATCAATACAAGAATTCAAATCCTCCCATTTAATATTATTCTTGGCTGGTGGTACCTTGACGTCTTGCAGAGAAAGCTCGTGCGACCCCCCTCCTGGCATAGTCCCGGTCGTCTTTGTCTTCTTCTTGCCTGCAGCACTGCCAGCCTTCCTTGAATCTGCAGAATGTTGCAAGTTTGGAGCGTTCGAACAATCCTGTTCCTGCATCTCGACAAGAGCACCGGCTGTAGCACCACCCTTTCTTGAATCTGCAGAATGTTGCTTTTTGGAGCGTTTGAACAATCCTGTTCCACCATCTCGACAAGCAGCACCACATGCCACGCCGCCCTTCCTTGAATCTGCAGAATGTTGCTTTTTGGGGCGTTTGAACAATCCTGTTCCTGCATCTCGACGAGAGCACCGGCTGCAGCACTGCCCTTCTTCCTATTGGCAGATTGTTGCTCAGATGAGAGCTTGAACAATCGTGTTCCTGCATCTCAACAAACCTGCCCTCTGGCAGAGTAGTAAGCAACGAGTCATTGCCACGAGAAGAAATGTCGATGGGCAAGATGAAGGGCCGCAAGACGTCGTGTGGTAAAATCAGTGAGCGATTCGAGAACTTGACCAGTGGAGCGATGCCCTGCAATCTCTAGCTACAGTAGTCAACCAACGCAAACTTCGCGGATGTAATGATTCGACCCTCTCCGACCCAAATACAATATACCGGTAGTACTTCTTTGTTTGACTAGTGCCGAACATTGTAACCATCGTACCAGGTAGGTGACTAGTGTTACCGAACGTTTGTAACCATCGTAACGATTTCTCGCCAGAGTGTATCGATGCATTACAGGTTCCGCACCAAACACAACGTAGCATAGTACCTGGTACCGGTAGGTACAGTCATATTAGACGGTACCGGTCCCGTTGCTTTGCGCCCTGCCTCATTCCCATCTGTGGCTCCCCCGAGGAATGGTTGGGTTGCAGCAACCAGGCCGAGAACAAAAGGCCGCCAGTCTAGTTCACTCGACAGTGGGCACGTACCATGTAACCCCCATGAAAGACACGTACTATGCTCAACTTCTGAGTCGAGTCGGTATCTCCCTTTCAACGACGCCGCTTTCCACCCCTTTTCTTCTTGGCCGTCGTTGGCTCTGCAGCGCCGTTGGCAACCGAAGCTTGTTGCTTTTTTGTTTGACGAGTAGGGATGGCTTCCATAGGATTCTCAGGCCAGGGATGCTTGGCATATCGACCTCTCATTTCGGCCCTCACGGATGGATACGTTTCTTTCCAAAAGAATGGGAGATTCTTTGTTTTCGCGAGCTCTTTTCCAGCTGGGGAGAGCAAAGACAAAGACACAGGAATTCGATTGTTGCGAGGCCCAATACAGGGCGATTCAGTCTGCCCAAAGAACTGTTGCAATTTGGCCGACGCTGTGGGTATCCCATTTGAGTAATGCACAGGAATGCGTGTTCCGTCAGGTGCTGCGATCTTTGCTGGGTAGTCTTGATCAAGTGAAACGATTTGGTCTGGTGTAAGCGATCCTGCCAAGATTTTAAATAGGTTGAGGCTCTTGAGAGACTCCGCCGAACTCAACCAAGGCTCAACTAGCTCCTCCAATTGGTTGATATCACTGGGTTTCCCCTCTCCCTTTTCAATCGCGTCCAAGGCAGCAAAGCAGAGCGGCCAATCTGATCCACTGTCAAGCGATACTGCAAGACGAACACGCTCTCGAAGCTCTTCGATCTCTGTTCGTTTATCTCTTGGAATGTTCTGCAGTAACGCCGTCGACACCCCTCCCAGTTGGCGAATTGTTTCCAAGAGAATTTCGGATCTTGCCTCGGCGGTCGGAGCTGGCAACGGAGTAGAAGAAAGCTCCAGCGATCCTACGGTCAAGGAACGTTTTGCCCGAACCTCGTGCCCACGGCTGGGCACGGTGAAAACGACTTCCTTCTCGATGGCGACACGACGAAGAGCATCTTCTGTAACAGATGCATAGGAACGAATCCGGGCGATCCCGTCATCGCCTGTGGTTGTCTCTGCCACCACAACATATTCAGGAGAGTCCCTTGTGTCATCCAACCGCGCTGACCTTCCAAGTGACAGCATATATGTTGTCCCGCCATAAGAAGCATCCCCTTTTCGTTCTGCCACAAGATCGACGAAGCCTGGAAGCAGTGTTTCCCCAATCACGTCCAGAACCTCCCGAATATTTGTTGGATCGTCTAAATAGTATTGAATCGACTCTACTGCCTCCTTGCTGATTCGACTTGCATATTGTAGAATGCTCTTCACCTGGAATGACTGCCGTGAACTTTCCAAAACTGCTCGAATGCGTGGCGCCAGGTTTGGTTCCCTTGTGCGAAATCCGCTGCTGTCTTCATCCAAAAACGCGGAAGATATCACGGCAGCAGCTAATTTCTCACGAGCATCCGCTGCGAGTGTAATGGCAGTCGCTAGGCGCGGGTGGGTAGGCAGTTGAACAAGTGATCGCCCTAGCTCTGTAAAGCTGTATCGATCATCATCCGTTTCCTCCAGTGCCTTCAAGGCAATCAGCGTATCATACGCTCTCTTCAATGCGGGGCCTTCGGGTGCATCCACAAACACCACCTCATCGTAGATTTCGGCCGGACTCAGGCAACCCCAATCCGAAAGGAACAGTAGTGTTGGCACCAGGTCCGTACTCATAATCTCGGGTGGCGAGTGATCTGCGAATTGATTTTCAAACTCGGATTCAGCGTATATTCGAAGACAAAGTCCTTCTTGAGTCCGTCCTGCTCGACCTGCTCGTTGCCGTGCGGATGCTTTGGAACAGCGGGTTGTCACCAAGCGTGGCATCCCCGTATCGGTATCACATCGTGGTTCCCGTCTTAGACCGGAATCTATGACGCAAGTGACTCGCTCCAGCGTTAAGGATGCTTCTGCAATGGGGCTAGACACAATCACGCGCCTTTTCGAAGCAAAGGAGGCATATAGCGCGTAGTCCTGCTTGTCTTTGGGCAAACTCCCGTAAAGTGGGAGCACCTCCGCGTCGACGCGGCGTGATGTGAGATCTTCTACGACCCGTTCAATTTCGCGAGCCCCTGGTAGAAATACAAGGATATCTCCCTTGTTGGGAGCGAGATGAAGTGCCTCTTCAATAGCTTGACACATTGTGGACACCAAATCATTGCGGCTTTTCATGAGGAGCGCCAATGGTGCGTATCCTTTTCGGGCCCATTCCACTTTGATAGGGTACTGTCTTCCCTTACTGATGAGAACTTTGCAGTTTTCGCGTCCACCCAAGGCTCTGACCAGTTTGTCTTTTGCATCGCTATTGTCATCATCAAACAGCGTTGCTGACATGACCACCAACCGAAGATCTGGGCGAAGAGATCGTTGGATTTCCACTGCCAGAGCCAAGGCAGTATCAGACCCAACTCCTCGTTCATGAAACTCGTCAAAGATAATGGACCGAATACCCGCCAGTGATGGGTCTTGACGCATTCGATTCAACAGTACCCCGTCCGTGATCACAATCACTTGGGTGCCTTTGGAAAGCTTGGCTTCTCCACGAAAGGCGTATCCCACCGTTTGCCCTGTGGATTGTTGGAGAATAGAAGCCATTCGCTGGGCAGCAGATCGTGTGGCAACTCGTCTTGGTTCCACCACGATGATTTGTGGCAGTTCGTCTTCCGTAGTATCCCATTGGGAGGCTGCCGCCAACAGGTCCAGTGGCAAAACGGTAGTTTTGCCGGCTCCTGGTGGTGCCTGCAACAACAGATTCTGTGGATCTTTCAGGCTTTCCCGCGCTTGTCTCAAAACATCAAAAATGGGAAGTTGGCTTTGAGATCGTAGAGCATCCAGGGCGGCATCAATGTGCCATGGCGGTAATGATGAATGCGTTGTGTGGACTGGGCGACTGGATGGCAGCTGCTGTAACCGTGAAAAAGGAAGCACACTGGAGAACCCTGAACACACAGATGCATGCAAAAGGAGCTGGATTATCCACAGATTGGAAATGATTAAATGGCAGGACTGTCTTCTTTGAGTGTTCATGGTAGTGGTGGTATGATTGGAACACTGAAGTGCGTGGGAATCACAATCGGAGCGACTGTTTTGTTTGATGTCTTGTGTGCCCTTTTCTATTTTAAAATTGTGTGATGCCTTCTTACAGCTGGAAATATACAGCCCGCCACCCATACAGCCAGCCAAACGAGACTATCCAAGCCCTGCTAGATAGCTACTACTAGAATGATGGCAATGGTGCTGTCAGGAACCCAACAAGAGCAAACTGCAGAAGCGCAGACTGCCATCATGGCCGTGGGAGAATTTTTGATGGATGGGAGTATCTTCTTTGGGTTAGGGTTTGGCAGCGAATGGTTCATCTTCAGAGGTTCATCACTCACCAACAAAAATCATTTATTTTGCCACAACCTTTCTTGTTGTTGTTTCTATCGTCTATCGAGGCATCTATCTATCAAATCCAAATCCACAAAAGAAAATAATGACAGCCGAGGATATAATTCGAGTAGCAGTGACGGTCTCGTTGGTGCAGGTTGGCTGTGATCTGCTGGCGCGGTACATGATCTTCCAAAAAGAGCCCTACCAACGTGCCGTTAGTACACTGGAACGACGCAAAGCGCAATACGACAAACTCGTCAAGGAATTCGAAGGCAAGACGGGCAAGCAGCAAGAAAAAGTAAAAAAGCGAATGGACCGAGCCAAGGATGATTTGGGAGAAGCCAAAAGTGCCGTCGCAGCCAAACATACCACTCCCGGAATGTTGACATCGATTGCCTTTGTCTTGCTCTTTCGCATATTGGGAACCGAACATTCGGGAAAAGTCATGGCGGTCCTACCCTTTCAACCGCTCTCTTTGATGAGAAAAGTTACCTTGCGAGGACTCGATTTTGGAGGCGATATGGGCTTTAACATTTTCAAAGAGAGCCCGGGTGTCCAATCGGTCCATCAAGCATGTTCCCTCATGTTCATCTACCTTTTGTGCAACATGGGAGTCAAATTCTATGTCCATCGGTTGGTAGGACAACAAACTCCGGAGGGAGTCGGAGGAATCATGGCACTGGCAGAAAACCCAAAAATTGCCAAGGGATTGAAGGAAATGGGGCTCGACCCCGATGAGCTAAAGCAAGATTGATTCGGTAACTTATAACTACTTTACTGTACTTGCAATTCACAAACGCAGGTAGCCAGCAAACTGCAATCCACAGGTCTCTCTCTCTCCCTCATTCGCGAGGAAAATACAGTCCGTATTCTCTCATCATTGATTTAGATGTCACGTTGTTTCCAACGGAAAAGCTGCACCTTCGCATCTTTTCGCATGCTGTCAATTACGTGCGAGGCGCCACCAAAACTGTTCTCTAACTGGCAACATGTACTAGCAGCAAAGGTTCCGTTGCATGGACACCGTCGCAACCGTATTGATTTACTTCGCCCAGGAGTTCTTTTCACAGGGCTTTCAGGGTCCTTGGCATTGAGCCTCCATGGCTCGTCATCACTCCAGTCAACCAGGAACGGTCCGATTCCAATCGACCACTTGTCTACTAGTACCGTACCAGTAGGCCAATCAATGGGTCTTCTGATGATATGGGCGTTTCCGGATAAGGAAACCTTCACGAACTTTCCAAGCACTCTAAAAAACAGCCAACCCCTCCGTGTCATCGATCCACAACTCGCTGGCTGCTGGTAGCGGTAGGCAGGAAGTGTCGGTGTCATCTCCAGCATCCTCTGAAACGTCGAAGTTGCGTTCGAACCAGTCACCAATGGTTGACGGGGATAGCACAACGCATGAACAAGAGAAGCTTTCCAAAGAAGCAAACATCCCGTCAGATTCAGGCGCAGTCAAGCTCCCTTTTTAAATCACGCCGTAACTGGACGCTCGGCTGTTTGACGCAGGTGCGGGTTGCAACTTGACGGGCTCCGGTATGAGGTTTGCGGTTGGAAGAGCTCCCGGAACATTGAGAGGCCCCGCTCAACTGTTGGGTGGTACCAGGCGAACGCTAGTAAGAGGACAAGTTGTTCAGAAACGTTCGACAAGTAAGTGGTCAACATGACGTAGCGAGATATGGCAATAAGCCACTCATTGTCACTGATAGCTTGTAGGATACTAGTCGATGTTGCTGTCTGATTGTCGCTTGACCAGTATTGTGAGCTTCCCCAGAGGAGCATCCTCAGAGGGGTATCTTTCGAGGGGCTTGATACGCCAAAGGATGGCCCTGCTACACAGGAAGCAGCTTCTTGATTGCCTATGTAAAGTAGGAAGCAGTCAAGAAGCACCTTGATTGCTTCTTGCCTGCTTCTTGATGGCTTCTCTTTCTGCTTCCTGTATCTTTCAGCAGGTGCGCATCCTGCAAGCTGGGCTTGCCGCCCCTAAAGCCTGGGCCTCTCGTGGCCTACTCTTGTGGCTTATCCTCTGGAGCTTTCTCCTTGTTGCTACACATACTGGGTGTCTAGATGGTTGACATACTGTTCCCCGTCACGATGACCGCCTGAAACCAACGTTACATGTACATCAAATGATGATTCATTCCTTTCCCGCTGATCCTGGCTCAGATTGGGTCTGCAGTCCTACTTGACCTGTGCTTTCAATACTCCTGGCACAGACACTGTTGCTGTGGGGGCATGTTGTGGCCATCCCCATCAATCACAACGAATTATGTTCCAAATGGTGCTGTCTACAACTTGCACATTTCCCTGGGTTACCGGAATTCATAAGCACAGCTTTGAGCTGCATATGGAATGGGTTTCAAGGTACGCATCAGCAAGCCACAATCGGCACAGATTTAAAGATGATTAAAGTGTGTTGACTGACCAAGTGTTCTTCTAACCCCCCTTCCCCATTCATGAGCGGTGCAATTTCCACGGAGAGTGTGACTTGGTCTTTATCATAAGCCCCGAGTTTGATCAGGGAACTGGATTGTATATCCACATTAGGACAAATGCACTGACCATTCTTACATCGAGTCTGCCGCTGTGTGCTTGGGGAGGACACTTTTTAGCTTGGTGAATATGACTTTTGTCCCTTGAACTCAGTCTAAGCTCACAACTTGTTCCACATTACACTGATACCGGTATCTTTGATAAGCTGTCGTCGGAATCTGCAATCAATGACTACCTTGCCTACTGAGAGTCTAGCTACCGGTAGCTAACCAGGAGGTTCGAGAAGAGGGACCTTTGCTTGGTTGTCACAAAGTTGGCTCCAAAGAATAGAAAAAAATAAAGAAAAGAGCTGCTTGGGATTGCGGAGCAAGCTGGGTGAGCAGGAAGCGAGATTTAAAAAGAACGCAATATTATCCACGTTTGAAGTTACTCTTTTAAGCCTTTTTGGTTCAAAACTTTAATTGTGAGAAAAATGAGGTCAGGTCTTGGGAAGAACCGGGAATATTCGAACGACGATGAACGGACAGCAAAAGAGAACTCGTGCTGGCATCATGCAACATAGCATGTGTTCTCACTTCGATCAGGTGCGAGAAGGAAGAAACCACAGCTCGAAAGTTGCCGAAGAAAGGATCATCTGGTACCTGGAAGCACTTCTTGTTTTCAATGATTATCGCCTTTGTGCTGGATCAAGAAAGATGTCAGCCCAACAAGAAGGAACCGTCAGGTTCCACCAAAGTACAAAGACCAATCGGAGCAGGGGGGTTCGATCATCTATGAGGAGTTCCATCTTCAGCGGGTCCTCGGTTGGTCCCGTCGTCGCGAGATATCGAGACCACTTTTCTCTTCAAGCTCCAACGAGTGTGGTCAAGTTTCAAGATAGTAACTCGGCGGCACGTGTGATCTACAATGGGAATTCCCAATTGGTCTTGGAAGAAAAGTATGACAAGGAAATCAAGAAGCGTCGTGTTACCATCAAGCAAATGTCCGAAGAGGCTGGAGGGTCTCTCTTTGCCCTGAGGTTTACATATACGTTGGTGGGAGCGTTTTTCACTGGTTTTCTGTTCGTCTTTTCCATGCATGTGATCATGTTTGTGGTTTTGGATCTTGCCATTAATGCCGGGCTGACGGATCTTTCGGAGGCTTCTTGGCCCTCCGCCCTTGGTGTTTTTCTGTCCATGCCCGTCCTGGTTCATAGCTTTGCCTTGGCCATGATGCTGGCTGGACTCTTTGTCCAGGATCTTTGGAAGGGACATATACTATTCAAGAAATTTGTCCTCCCCAGTCAAAGAGACGAATTGATTGAATGGATATTCTTGCTGGGAATGTTGATTATTCCCCTTTGTGTCATTGGGGGCCTGCTCATGTCCGGAACTGAACGCTGGTGGGAGCTAGGATCGCTCGTTTGGTTCTTCTGTGTGTTCTGCTTCTACTTGTTCTTCCTGATCAGTGTTCTTTGGTACGAGACCCGGATTTTCTTCCACTTTGTCCTGGAATCAAGTGTGGTCAGCAATCGTGACAGTCTGTTGGGGGTGATTTGGGCATGCATAGAAATGAGGGGAAAGCACACTTGGAGTGGTTACTCGCGCACCAACTACGCTTCGTTTGGGTCGCCAGATAGCTCCTTGACGGAGGAGAGCCGAAAGATGGTTGTGGAAGGAACGTTGATTGAAAATCAACGAAGTCTATACTCGAGGTTTTCACAATGGTCTGCGCTGGAAGGAATACTCTACAACAAGCTCGAGACTCCACGACGGTTGTATTCCGTGGACGATGTCACTGCTAGACGGCCCTATATCACTTCCTATTCATGGAGCCTAGAACGCTATTTCTGCCGACCTCGAAAGACCCGATACATCAGAATACTTCAGGGTCCTGGAGCGGTGACAAGTCCACAACTCAAGAGCGCTATCGTGTGTTCCTTTATTGGAGCCCTCTTGATTTATTTCCTTTTGGCAGCTTTGATGGTTCACAATGGCAGCAGCGCGATGAACATATTGGCAGTATTACTGGTTATGGCCATAGTGAGCCTTCCTTTGATATTCGCGCCGATCAAGTCATACAATGAACTTCGCAAATTGAGGCTCTTGAAGAGACGACACAGGGCCATGGTGAAAGAGTCACAGGTTGTAAGGCTTGTCACGATAGAGGAAGACGAGCCCGAGCACGCAGATACGCACGCGGGAGATACGCACAAACACTCCACTCCGTCAGAACCTATCGGAGAAGAAGTGGTCGATTTGCCCTAGTAAGTGCAAGAACACCCGTGCTTGGTTTCAGAATGACGCGTCACGCTCACAGGCGCTCCCTTTCTCTAGCGAGCACGGTACTATTCGGGTCCGCAGGATCACAATGGATGGAATTGAGAGTAACAACAGTGAGGTTGAACACGTCTTGAGTACTGATGATGACAAAGCTTTAGGCAGCGAACCACCCGCTAACAATGTCGACAGTGTGCCAGATGTCGAGAAGAATATCGTCGAACCTGAAGTTTCAGCCCCAAAGCGGAGCGTCAGAATCTCCGAAGATAATATTGATGAATTTCATGCTTCCAACAGCACCGTTGGTTTTGGGACAAGTCTTGGCTTACTCTGGTCTGGTTTCGAGACAGAAGACGAAATTTCTATGGGTGTCTTCTTTGTGGCAGAACGATATCGGATTACAAGCCCTACCCCTGCTTTCAGCGGATTCATCTTCTTCTCGGCGCTTTTACTTCTTGTCATCTATCCGACCATCTCGCTGTATTTGATTGAGAGTTGGCAGCTTGCAACGTTTTATCTTGCAATCGCAATTGGGATGTAAGTAGGCGTGGGAAGTTGTTGGATATGTGTCTTTCAACCACCGACTCGACTCATTCCCTGTTCAAACTTTCCCAGGTTCCTCCGACATCATACCAATGCTTCTTTGCTGCTGCAAGAAACAGGCATGGTAAACCCACCAGAGGAGGGCTCCGATCCTATCAAAGTATGGGAGAACCAATCTCGTTTGAGCCAGGTCGCAGCAACGGTTAGCCGAGGCAAGTCATATTATGCATGGCGATTCGTTTTTGCAATCTTTGCCGTGGTAGTTATTCTTCTCGGAATTCAAGCGCAGGGAACTTCCTTGGACAATACCGAAACAGAGTATTTCACCGTTCGTCGCGGCTTCTATTACGAAGAACAAAAGACTCTCCACTACACATCCTGCGAGTTCGATAAGGACATTGAAGGCAACCCTCAATCGACTTTGATTGACTACATGTTCTTATCCGCGCTTGCCTACCGAACTCCTAACGAAACTGCGTTCAACCTTCGCTCGTGGTATGGCCCTGGAGTTGTCGAAGAAAGGGTCGATATTGTGGACTCCTTCCGCGCAACCAATCAAGACAACACTCCAGTTTTCTACAAACTGTTCACGGCTTCGTTACCTGGCAATCGAACTCACGCCATCATTAGTATTCGGGGAACCCATAATCCATGGTGAGCAACACGACTGACGGAAAGCTTTGAGGAGACGCAAACTCTCGTTGCTAATGAAATACTAACTCTTGCACTGTCCAGGGACATGTTTGCGGACGGTCAGGTAAGTAAGAAGTCGTACTTCCACTTTCATCAGCAAAAGGCTTGAACGTTGCTCACTTATCGGTTGCGTTACCATCCAAACATAGTTATGGGGGGCCGCAGTGTTGCTCCAGCTGGTCAGAGCGGTGCTCCCGTTTGGTTACATATTTGATCCTATTTTGCATCACATGGTCACAATATCTTCTTTTCTACAGTCAGGATCGCTCGACAAGATGTCATTCTACAGGTCCACAACCGATTTCGCCAACCATCTCACAAGTTCGAGCAACTTTTCCTCCGTCTTGCTCACAGGGCACTCACTGGGTAAGCACTGCAGACACACCAATAGTTTTGCACAAGCAAAATTGTCTCCATTGACCACTCGACCTCACTTTCTTGTCTTGCCGCATGCTCTGTTACAGGTGGCGGCCTAGCCATTATCAGTGGCGCACAAGCAGAGCTTCAAGCCGTGGCAGTCTCTGGTCCCAATGCTAAGATTTCCAGGAATCGACTAAATGTCACCGTGGAGAATTTAGAACGATACACCTTCAACATCAAACCAGATCGTGACCCCGTGGCGATGGTTGACGATCCGACCAAGAATCTTCAACAGATTGAGTGCACAGCACCGCACAACGAATTGTTTGCGTGCCATAACATTCGCAGGTCGCTTTGTGAAGGCATGTACACATGTGGTACCAAAGGACGACCTGTGGTGTGCGAGTGCGCAACACTGTTTGGCTACCCCGAACCAAAAGCCTTGGACAATAATACAATCTCCTTTGCCGAAGCGTGCACCGGTGCACGAGTTGTTGTCCCCTAAACGAAAAATCCTAAGAGGCAGAGGCAGACGACGCTAACAGAAGAATGGGAAAGATAGTGTAAGCTTTTTATAAGCAGAGCTATGTTTTGGAGCTCGGCGCTATAGCCTGTCTGCACCTCTAAATGACGACACGAGATAGGCGCTCGTTATTGACTTGTACCCCGTCACTAAATTGCCGTACTGTACCGTTGTCCTCAATAATCACGTGGTAGATTCGGAGATGCGCTTGCTCTGAGACACTTGCGAATTGGCAGATATTGTGGACATGGAGGAATCGTCGAGCCGTACCATGTCCGACCCCGCCTGGTCTTTTTGACCTGGTAACTTGACAAAGTAGCAAGCGGAATCGTCCGCACTGGCGTTGAGGAGAGTGTGATTGCTGTTTCGGGGTGTCGCAGCTTCATGTGGATTGCCGATTGTCGTCACATCGTGTTGCTTGTTGTGATTCTTGAGCATTTCAAACAATTCTGGATGCGTCACTCGATCAACGTGACGAGCGGAAATGTTTCCATGATTGTCGCCTACGTATTGTGTATATGTCATCTTGTCTTCATTGATGGCGGCACCAATTTGTGCGTTGGTGTCGCACTTTAAGATAATGCCCGACTTTTCCGTGGGAAGTCGCCAGAGGCGTTGACACGTGGATACAATGCGCAAGCAAAACATGGCCAGGGGCCAAAGCAAGACCGATCCCAATGTGACAGATACCCAGCCGATACTTTGCATGGGTTCGGTGGGTATCCGGTGCACTGCTTGTACTGCCCCAATCAACGATGCTGTTACCAGGATCCCAGATAAGACCAGTGAGGCTCGCTTGGCCAATACATCCACACGCGACAATATGATGGCTGGTTTTCCATTTTTCTCCGAAGCCCCCGGAGTGATATCTCCCGCACCATTGACAGTACTTCCCATGTCGCCAAATCCTCCAATATCTCCAAAGTCACCGAATCCTCCAATGCTGATAATGTCTTCCTCCGCTTGCTCTTGTGCCGCCAGCTCCCTCTCCCAATCCTCTTTCAAGACCGAGGATGTCGGTTCTTCGGGCAAGACTAGCAATTCGACATTGGCAAATCCTTGCTGGAGTAAATGCTGCGTCTGAAAGGCTTTTCTCACTTGAATGCGGGACGCATCGCGGTTGATAAAGTAGTCAATAATGGCAAAATACTGCGGCACTCCCGACCCATCTTGATCATCTTCAATGCTGACCTCCCTGACATTGCCATGGACCACCACCGATTCACCCTCACTGAATCGCATCAAATCCGTGTTGAGAAAGGAATTCAAAAAGAACATGGCCCACCCCAAGGAGAAACAAAGACACAGAAACACATCAGACAACGTTGCATCCGCTTGTCGTGTTCGTTTCCGTCTTTTTTGTTCCTGATCTTCTTGCTGCATATAGTAGTTTTGAGGATGATTGCGATATCGACGGCGCCGATTCTCATGGCTCTCCGCTGTTGCTGTTGTTGCTCCGTAGGTGTACTACTATGCTTCTGCTGATTGTTGTTGTACGTCGAAGAGCTACCTCTCACGGTCGCCGCTTCGGCCGGTGCTACTACATGACACAAGCACAGCAGAACTAGATAACACAGCCACAATAGTCGTCGGGAGGATTTGGAGGACATCATGGTCAACAACACGAAAGCTTCGAGCAAAAGTGACAGGAACGTCTCCAGCGAGGTGGGCCGGATTTCCGATTTATTCCGAGTTTCGTCCGATCCACGCGTGTCGGCGTCCCTCCCCGGCACAAACCTCAGCACAAGTGAAGAACCTGCATTTTAAGAAAACAAACCTGCACTACGAAGCCAAGGCAGCGCCGTACCAGTACCGGTACGGACTGTAGTAGCCTGTCCCAATAATGGTACCGGTAGTGCAGCCGGCTAAAACTACCTATAGGCTCTCAGGGATCAGTTGGATCATCTGATCAAAAGAGAGCCCATGAGAAGTAGTTGGGTTCTTCCTCTCGATGAACCTGAATGAGCAGCCTTATCTTCTTGGCACTTGTCTGGAGGAAAGACCGACTTTGTGCTGGGTTTTCCGAATGCAAGGCAGGTTCCACCAATGAGCTGCCTTCGAACTACAGGTAGCTAGCTAAAAGCAAACCAGACAGCAATGATGGATCCACCTCCATTCTTGAGACATGCAGAGGACCCACACCGGCCTGATCTCTGAACCTACCCGGGCAGCGCCTTAATTTAGCCCTACCACAGCCTGTGGGACTATTGTAGCCGCTCGTACAATTAATTGATTGTTCCTAAAGATTTGGAGTCTGAGAATCTGACACTCAGACTCAGCCTTCGGCCATCGCGGGTCATGTGCCTGGCTGTGAGCATGGCAAGATGGCAAGTTGAATTTTTGTCCGTATCCGCGACTGGAAGATCGAAATTGTCCCTCTTGGACAACCTTCGTACGTCAATACTCAATAAATCCCAACCAAGATATGTCTGTCCCAGCGAAACTTCATGGTCCTTTGAGACTGTACTCCATTCGAAAGTCCCTTCAAAGAATCGAGGGGCTCTTTTTATCACCGACCATGACGGATTCTAACCAATTGTATGCGCTGACCAACGTTGTCCAACGCTGCTGGACCGAGGCTGCCTTTAAGGATGTCACGTTGGAGAGCAGCGATGGAGTGAAGGTCCCTGCAACTCGCGTGGTTCTGGCAGCTCGAAGCGAGGTCTTTCAGGCCAAGCTACTTGGCGAAAACTCGTCAGAAGCTACCGTGAAGATTGACCTTTCAGGAGCAGTCTTGGAAGCCGTCGTCGAATTTTGTTACACGGATAACGCAAGTGTGCTGGATTGGAAGGCCAAGGCAGCTGCAGGACCAGATCCCAACTTTATCCCCACTTTGTTTGGGCTCCAAACGGCGGCTGCGGAATTCAAGCTACCAGGTCTTTCGGCAACCATTGGAGACTGCGTGACCAGTTATTTGGATCAGTTCCCAACGCTCTGTTATGGAGCATACCAGGCCTGGAAGAATACTGGGCCTGCTGCGTCTACTTCGTCAAATCTGGGAGGAATCTTGTTGTCTCGCGTACGATCTTCACCAATGGAAGGTTTGAAAGCTACTTCCTTGGTTTCGCTCACTTCAGCCACCACCAAAGAGCTTCTAGAGGACAAGAAAATGGAAGCTACCGAGCTAGAACTTTTCCAGTTTTTGCAAAAGTGGATGGAAGCCGGCCCTGGAAGGAAAAATGATGCCATGGACATGGTCGAGCTAATTAAACTCCATGATATTGCCCCAACGGTTTTGTCTACCGATGTGGCATCCTCTGGTCTTGTCACGCCAGATCAATTGATGGAAGCCTACAAAAATCAAGCCTTGGCGGCAGCTAGCCAACAACCCGTCAAATTTGAACGCAGACGCTTTAGTGTCGCTCCCATGTGGTCCAAGACCATGTCAGACATGTCTTCGCCTGCCAAAAGCAACCAATCTTGGAAAGCCGACACTCTGGAATTTCCTCCCATGTCGTCGGGTAAGTACAAGTGGGCCTTGGAATTTGCGCACGTCGATGCCGACGAAATTGGATTTGCCTGGCTGGGGATTTCCTCCTCGGCGGTTCCGTTCAAATCCAACACTCCATTGGACGAACAAAACGGCTGCTGGGCTGTCAATGACAGGTGCCGAGGAGTTCACGAGGGTGGTACCGCCTTTGCGGATTTCGAGCACGATCTCGGAGAAGGGCATACTATCACCTTTACCTTGGATCTGAGTCCTGATCAAGAAGAACGTGGAACATTGAGTGTCCAGGTCGATGGGAATGGCCCATCTCGCTCCCTGGGCAAATTTGAAAATCTCCTTGACCACTTGGAGGAAAATCCTGGTGCTGGTTTTGTTCCAGCGATGGCGCAACGTGATGTATGCGTTATTAAGGCACTCGGCATTCCCACAGCACTAGAGTAAAGTATGTGTTAAGTAGTTGTTTTGTTGTGCTCTGGACACTTTGACTGAGTATTGCCGTGTTTGATATATATGTTTCCCATCGTCGTGGTCTGTGCCAACTCCCACTCCGGTGATTTCGATACCATAATCGAGTTCCATAAAAACATCAACAATTTGGACGGCAAAGTCAATGGAATAGGCGCAATTTATCTGTCTCTTGCAAATTTGAAAACCTATTGGACCACTTGGAGGAAAATCCTGGTGCTGGGGTTGTTCTAGCGATGGCGCAACATGACATATGTGTTATTAAGCCACTCGACATTCCCATAGCGCTTGAGTAAAGTACTGCTGTTAAGTTTTGCTTGTGGTGCTCTTGAACGCGTGTGACACTTTGAAGGAAGTGTTGGTGTGGTTTGTGTTTGTGTTTTGATCTCGTAGTCCATGCCAACTCCCACTCCGGTAAATGCGACACGGGTACCTTACTGAGCGAGTTCGATAAAACCTAAACATTTGACCGGCAAAGTGGATGGAATAGGGCGCGACTTTTATCTGTCTCTTGCTTCTACTCGTATTTGGCAGCAGCATTACTCAATTAAATTTTCGGGTACATGGTCGGCATATAAAATTGGACGGATGAGCTTGCAACGAAACAAACTCGCATCACGAACCTTTTTTTCGCCAAACCAGAAGGTAGCAGCTGGATGACTTGCTTGCTAAAACACAACTCTAGTAGTACAAGATGTACAGCGTACGGGTACCGAGGTCAAGCATTGGAATTACCCACAGACCCCAGGTCTTTGCATTAAACTTCTTTTGAGTCTGACAACACACCACTGTCCATGTCTTTCGAGTGCGC